ACGCGCCAGCAGCGCTGGCCCTGCCCCTCCAAGGGAAGGCCAGCACTGCTGGCCCCAGCCCCCCAGCCCTGCAAATGGTGATCATGGAGGGGACGTGGGGGGGGGGAGGCAGGACCAGCACACCCCCTGCTCCCTGCAGAGTGCCAAAATGGAGAGGGCAGGGGGCAAGGTGAGCACTGCTGGCCATGGCCCGCTCCGCGCTCCAGGCAGCAGTGATGGAGTGGATGGGGGTGGGGCCAGCAGACAGAGGAGGCAGGGTGGCCTGGCCCCAGCTCCAAGCAGCACAGGGGAGAGGGGGAGTGGACCAGGCCCCAAAAGTCGGGGCGTGGGGGGAATGGGGCTGGATGCAGGCCTCTGTTGCCCGCTGTCGTTGTGTGTCGTGTCCCCCCCCCCCCAATCATTCTTGGTGGGCATTTGACTAGTATAATAATAATAGTCTGATCTTGTGCATGAAACACAGTCTACTTATAGTTAGGGATCTACTTAAAGAGTGCTGAGGTGAAGGAAATATTGCAGGTTGCTTGCGGTTCCCTATACCATTTAGCCCAGCGGCTTTGCCTCTTGCCGTTCATTAGCCAAGAGGGCTACCTTTCATTTGGCCCCTGTCCCTCACTGCTGATTGGTAGAGAGGGTCAGGGCTGCACAAAAGGCAGCCCTTTTGGCCAATCACTGATGGAGGGAGCAGCTGCCATCTTGGCTGCTCTCCTTCGTGCCTGCAGGTCCCTCCCCACCAGCAGGCTGTAAGGCTGGGCTACAGTGGCCGCTGACTCCCATTGGGGAGCCAGTATTTTATTTTTAGCAATTTTTTTCCCCTTGCTGATTCCACGCAAAATGGTGGAAACTGCTGTTTTTTGTGGTTTCCATGAAAATCATGAAATGACCATTTGAGTAGGTCCCTGGCCTATAGTGCACAATGGCAACATCTCAAGAAACCACTGTTGCTGTTGAGCAAATGAAGGCTTTTAGGGTGACTTTTATTTTTTGGTATTAATGTTATACTCAGACATTTTAGATAATTATTTGCAATGTTGTGTGGCATCAGCTTTTGTCCCATAGTACTTGTTGTTACATAAAAGGAGTTTAGACTGCAGCTTTTTGTAATAATAGGAAGCTGCTTCCTTGTATCTTCATAGGATTTCTACTATGAATATTTTCACATACTTAAAAGACCTGTATTTTAAGTGCATAGGAAAATGTTTGCTAAAATACATGTCCTTCTTACTTCAGAAATGTACAGATTTCTGCAATTTTGGACCAAAAGAATTATGTTGAGGAACTAAATCGACAACTAAAGTAAGTATTTAATGAGGTATGCATATCAGCCTAGATTTTTTTTCCAGTTTAAAACAAATCCTTTTCTCTTTATTCCCAACCCTGCTGTGGCAGGTGGAAATCTCAGGGAGAAAATAAAAATATTTTCCAGCATAGACTGAGGATGTGGAGCGATTGCCAAAGATATGTAATCTTTAGGAGAGACTGAAAAGCAGAAGATTCATATCTCACAGTTTCTTGATCTGATGGCTAGACTCCTTATCCTTTCATTTGGGGAAAAAAAAAACCAGAGAATGGATCAGGAATGACAGTGTTTTTGCAACTTTTTGCAATTTAAGGTTCCACAGAAACTATTCAGAGGGGTATTTAATCTTTCAGCACGGGTTGTATTGTTACATCTATATGCAGGTTTTACAAAAATGTCCCTCTCTGTCTCTCTGTCTACAGATATCTATTGATCAGTACATAGCTATATATATATATATATATATATATACACGTTTGCTTTAACAGCCCTGTGATATGACAAGTCTGGTTCACTTGACAGTCCCTAACACATGTATTGTTACACCATCCATGTCCTGTTACAGTAACCACACCCACATGCCTGTTGCCATCTCTTTACCCATTACAATCATGCTGAACTGCCTCTGATCCCTCTACTTCCCACTCCTTACCCTCTCTCTGATCCCTGTCCCAGTCATCAGTTCACAGTGACTGCGTTGCCTTCTTTTTCCCTGTCGTCCTCATCGCTTACCCCTTCTTTGTCAGTTACCTCAGTTTGCATATTAGTCCTCTTCCCCCATTATGAGGCAATCTGAGCCTTATCTGGCAAGCTTGTTTGGCAACCAGGGAATTATTGTCTTACCCCATGGTCAGCAAATACTACATGCTGTAGAAGCCTAGCCCTGCTCTCCAGAAGTGAAGTCATTCTGCCCACAGAGGGGAGAGTTTCTTTGCCACAGGGGAGCATTAAGTGCAGAGGCACCCAGTTTTGCTGCAGAACTTTGCGGCATGTAACACACTCTGCTTAATGTAATAGCACAGGAGAGGGGTTAGGTGGCATAAATAGCTGCTTGATTAATTAATTGCTTTTGTCTGAATAATAGTGTAACCTGCTTTAAATAGATGCTAATGCGGTGGCACAGGCCGAGCCCAGTGTTCTGGACAAAATGGTGGACATTGGGTGGAAGTGTGGGGCTTTGTACAAGAGCAGATCAGTTGGAAGGGACAGAGTTCTACAGATCCTTGAAGATGAGAACAAAAATGTTGAAAAGTATGTGGTTGTAAAGATGGATCCAGAGAAGGAATTTTGGGAAGGATACAATATGGAGAGAAAAATTTGGAAAGATGATGGTTTTACTACTTTGTTGGCTACAAGCTGGAGCATCCCCTAGCCTGGCTAGTGCTTGCACATGCTCAGGGGGGCAGAATGTTCCAGGGTGTGTGAACTTTTGAACTGTCCTGACATAATGACCTAGTTTTTGCACTTGAGCATGCCCAGTTAGTTCACATTAGGTAACTGAGTTTGGGCGGGAAAGCCTGTGAGGTAAATGATACATTTAATAGATTGTAAGGCTGGAAGGGACCTTGGAAGATCACCGGGTCCAGCCCCCTGTACTAAGTGTAAAGACAGCTGGGGATCAGGTGACCCCAGCAAGGTGACTGTCTAGCCTCCTCTTGAAGATTTCCAGGGTAGGTGATTGCATTGGCTCTAGAGGGAGCTTATTCCACAGTCAGGACACCCTGACTGAAGAAGTTTTTCCTAACATTGAGCCTGAATCGATATTCCAGGAGTTCATGGCCATTACTCCTAGTTCTCCCCTCGGGTGGCCTGGTGAACAGTTGCTCAGCGAGCCCTTGAGATGTACTCCCCCAGTGTAGCAGTAAGCTGCTACCAGGTCCCCCTTCAGCCTTCTTTTCTTCAGGCTGAAGAGTCCCAGATCCCTCAGCCTTTCCTCATATGGCTTGCCATGTAAGACTAATTATATGGATGGCTCTTCTCTGGACTCTCTCAAGCTTGTCCATGTCCTTGTTAAAGTGTGGTGCCCAGAACTGGATGCAGTACTCCAGCTGCGGTCTCACCAGTGCTGAATAAAGCGGAAGAATCACCTCCTTGGCTTTGCTGGAGATGCGTTGATTGATGCATACCAGAGTATTATTTGCCCTACTGGCTACAGCAGGGGTTGTCAACTGGGGGTATGCAGGAAGGCCCCAGGAGGTATGCGGTGACAGGGCGGAGAAGCGGGGGTACTTGGGAAGTGGGGGGCAGGGCCGCCACCACCATCCATCACTCTGCGTTGCTGCTGTGCGCTGCCTGCAACTTTCCCACACCCCAAGTACCCCCACTTCTCCACGCTGCTGGTGTTGTGTCTGGCCAATGGGGAGGGGAAAGGGTGGGGGCCAGCCAGATGTGAAGCTAGTGGTGCGGAGAAGCTGGGGCACGTGGGAAGCGGCAGCACGGGGAGCAGGGCCACCACCATCCATCGCTGTACCGTGTGCTGCTTTCCTACGTATCCCCACTTCTCTGTACCGCTGGTTTTGTGTGTGGCTGGCCATCAGTAGCTCTTCCCCTCCGGCACATGGCGGCAATGCTGAGGGTATAGATGGTAGTGGGGGCAGCCACTGCGTGTGAGCTCCCTGCGCTGCTACTGTCTCCTGCGGGGGAAGTGGGTGTTGACAGCCAGCCGCACATGAAGCCAGTGACGTGGAGAAGCAGGGATACTTAGGCGCAGGAAAGTGGCACCCGGCACCTGGCAGCAACACAGAATGTATAGATGGCGGTGGCGGTGTGTGAGCTCCCTGCTCCGCTGGCTTCGCATCCGGCCGTCTGTTGGCATGCCCTCAGATCTGCACAGGGTAGGGCAGGCCACTGCTACGGGCTGGGGCCAGAGCTGAACCAGGCTCCTCCCAGCTGGGAAGGACAGTAGAGGTGCTGGCAGGGAGCTGCAGCCACCCCAAGTTTTGCTGTAGCCCACCTGACCCCTCCCCCCCCCAGCACTACTGCCACCCATCTGGAGTGCAGCACAGCCTCTATCCCCACAACCCCACCACCTCCGGGAAGAGCCCAGCGCTGCCTCAGCCACAGCTCACAGTGGCAGCCTATCCTGCCCTGTGCAGATCTGGGGGCACATGCCTTCCATGTCCTCCCGGGACACGTGCAGTGGCGGGAGCTGCCACCCCTCCCTGTGCCCCCCTGGATGAGCTGTGGCTTTGTTCCGCGCCCCACCTCAGCTGATGGGAAGTGGGGAGGGTGTTCCGTGGGTTCTGTCCCCTCCAGCCCAGCAGTGCAGCCAAGACTGGCCCCGTTCTAGCCCCTGGCTGGGGGCCCCAGGTGGTGAGGGGCCAGTGCTGGGGCGGGGAGGCAGTTGGGGGTGACAGATTTGTTGGTTCAGGGGGTGCTGGCACTGGGCAATGACCCTGGGTGCGGGGGAAGGTATGAGCACAGCGGGCCCTGACCTGATCCTGGGCCCCACTCCCTCCCTATCCCTGCTGGGTTCCAGCCCCACCCCACTCTGACTGCCCTTTCTCCTCCCTTGCAAACTTTCCCACAGCTGGATGGGAGGGGAGGGGATACTGATGTCAGCACCATCCCCGCACTGGCTGGCTGGAAGGTTGTACAGTCCAGAAGGGGTACTCACAGAAGGGGTACACGCCTTAAAAAAGGTTGAAAACCCGTGGGCTACAGTATCGCACTGCTGACTCATATTCATACTGTGGTCCTGTGCATACTGTAGTCATTTACCTGACTGAGTGACAACTGAGTGCCATGTACATGTGGAAGTGTTGTGTGAAAAGGCATGTCTAATTGTCTCTTTGGATGACTGAGTATGGATGTTTGGAGTATGGGTATAAATGGGAACAGATCTGAAGGGTCTTTGTTTCCTGTGTGAATGAGTGGCTGGAGGAGCAGTCAGGGTGATTGCATGTGGGTATCTGGAGTGTGCCTGGAGTGCCTGAGGCTAGAGGGCCAAGAGTAGCCAATAGCTGGTGTGGTCCAGTGGCAGGGAATCGTGGGTAGGCAGAGTGAAAGTCCAGGGGACCAAAACGTGTGTGTGTGTGTTTGCAGGATGAGGGTCTGGGGGACCCAGATCTCTGTGCTGTGACAGCAGAGTGGATCTGTGTGTGAGTGGTGCTGCTGCTGGCTGCATACGAGAGAGAGTCTGCTTATGATTTCTAGTATCCTCTTTTGGATAAGTATTGATTTGTTGTATTGTTGTTTATATTGGATTAGCTGAAATTCCCGTTCTTCACCCGGGTTGTTATTTTTGTAATTGCAGTGTTTTTGTTTATTTTCAAAAAAATGTAATACAACATATTTAGATCAAAATATTGTTTATTTTTAAAGAACATAGGAGAACATATTTAACATTGACTACTTAACGTGGAGTGAAAAAAAGGCAAGTGTCAATATAATAATGACAGTTGAACTGAATTCACTGCATAAAAATGGAGTGGTACCAGTTTGTTATCTGAGAAGCAATGTAATCCCAGTCAATGGAAGCCCCAAAAAGGGTCAAGTGAAAAATAACCCGCCTATAATTTTCTTTGGGTGGTATTCAGTGATTTTGGAAGGTTTAGAGTAGATAGGATCAACCATTCTTGAGTTATAAGTGAACATACAGACATACACTTCGTGTGTGTGTGTGTGTGTGTGTGTGTGTGTGTAAATTAGGGTTGGATTGTTGTTGTTTAATATAATTGTTGTTATCCCTTCATCACGTGTCTGTCAGTCTTTTGCTAATTAATTATATTGTGTTAAGTTAGAGCTGGGCTAACAACCTAATGAGTGTTTAAGCACCTACCATTCTTTCGCTGGGCTGATATCTAGGAAGATTAACACCCTCATTTGAATAATTAGAGCTCATGGTTCAACAACTTGGATGAGTGTTAGAATGGAAAGTGGAAGCAAAGGAAGAAAGGCTTGGCAGGAAAGATGGGGAAGTGCTAAGCATCTGGACCAAAGTTTTATTAATGTAATGAAGAAGAGGACCAAAAAAATTGAGAGGGTCCAGAGGAGGGCCACTTGCATGGTCAGAGGGCAGCAGGGCAGGCCCTATGAGGAGAGGCTATGGGACCTGAACCTGTTCAGCCTCCACAAGAGAAGGCTGAGAGTTAATCTGGTGGCCCTTTATAAACTTGCCAAGGGGGACCAGCGGGGAACGGAAGAGTCCCTGTTCCCCTGAGCACCACCAGGAGTAAGTAGGAATAATGGTCACAAGTTGACTGAGAGTAGGTTCAGGCTAGACATCAGGAAGCACTACTTCAGTCAGGGCGGCTAGGATCTGGAACCAACTTCCAAGGTAAGTGGTGCTTGCTCCTGCCCTGGGGGCCTTCAAAAGGAGGCTAGATAAGCACCCCAGCATTCTTTTCTGCCCATGGCAGGGGGTCGGACTTGATGATCTGCTCAGGTCCCTTCCGATCCTACCAACTATGAAACTGAAAAATTGGAAAAGTAGTAACATTTGTACACAGAAATGGTTGTGAAGGATGAAGGAGAGGAAGGAGTCAAAGGTGACACCCAGGTGGTATGACAGGGATGGTGACACTGCTATTAACTAGGGCAGGAGTTGGAAAGAACACACAGAGATGTTCAGCAGAGAAAGCTAATTTATGACATTTTTAGCAACAGTTCTCCACCAAAATAATTATAATAGACCTGTTGATGGTTGCCAATACTCTTGTTATAAATACTTTTTTATGTTTGTTAATATGAGTTTTGATGTAATTTTAAATGATTATTTCTTTATTACTTTCAGTAGCACGGTCAGCAGTCTTCATGCAAGAGTGGATTCATTAGAGAAGTCGAACACTAAACTTATTGAAGAGGTATTGTTTCTTAGTAATACTGACATTAGACCAACTTTTTATATTGCTGTAGGTTGTTGTCTTTAGAGCTCAAAAAAGTGATTGTGCACTTTCTCTTTTCTACCCGTTTTTAGTTAGCAATAGCCAAAAACAATATTATTAAACTTCAGGAAGAAAATCATCAGCTAAGAAGTGAAAATGCACTTATTTTAATGAAAACACAGCATCATCTAGAGGTATGTGCGTTGGATATAAGTAGAAGTAGCCTGGCTTGTTACGTTTGAATGTTTGTATGTTGGCACTATACCTATGCAAATAATTGAACTGCCTTTAAAACAATAATATTTAGTGGGTAAGCCTACATTATTTGTTGAGCTTTTCTAAAGAGACATATTTGGATGTAAAATGTTGTAGGAATCAACTTCATAATAATAAAAAATGAACAATTTAAGATTTGTCTTACATTTTGTATTTGATGCTTTATTTAGATTTTATGGACTAAATCTTTCGGCAGAGTGGGTGCATCTACACAAGACGCTTACTGGGCGATAGCCTAATAACATTGTGCAGTAGTGTACTGATCAAAAACCATGCTAATAACCACACTACACAGTGTTATTAGGCTACTGCGCAGTAACCATCACAGAAATACTGCACCAGCATTACTAAGCAGTAATTGTAATTGCTGTGCATTTAGTTAGTACTTCTTTAAGGAAGTACTAAACTAAATGCTCAGTAACTACTGCACATTAATGAGTGAACATGTAGATGTGTCTGGTGTGAAGCAAGTGTTTTGAGAGCCTTGTCAGATAATTATTTCTCTGTTTTTTGATAAGAGGGCTCAAAAGCCCCCATGGCTCACCAAAGGTGTTCAGGAACATCTGAAAGCTAAAAAGGAGGCATACACCTGGTGGAAGGGAGGAGCTATCATCAAGGAGGATTATACCTCTGTTGCTTGAGACTATAGGGGGGCTGTTAGGAAGGCTGAGGCAGAGACAGAACTAGGACTAGCGACCAGGATCAAAGCCCTTTTTTAAATACATAGGGAGGAAAAAGAAGGCACCGGGTAACGTGGGGCCCTTGCAGGACACGCTTGGCAATCTCGTGGTTTCACCAGATGAAAAAGCTGACCTCTTTAACAAATTATTTGCCTCCATTTTTCTGAGCAGGGACTGGGACATCCTCCCCACTAGGATTCCGGAGAGGCACCGCCAAGCCTAGGGTCAGAGAGGACCTAGTTAGGGAACTTCTGGTGGGGCTGGATGTGTTTAAATCAGCAGATCCAGATGCTCTCCACCCCGGGGTGCTGAGGGCATTGGCAGGGGTCATTGCGGGACCCCTGGCACAGCTTTATGAGCACTCATGGTGCTCTAGCCAGGCTCCAGAGGACTGGAAAAGGGCCAATGTGGTCCCCATTTTCAAAAAAGGGAGGAAAGAGGACCCAGGTAACTATAGGCCCGCACTGTTCAACATCTTTGTCAGTGACTTAGAAGAGGGGGTGAAAAGCACCTTGTTCAAATTTGTGGATGACACTAAGATGTGGGGAGAAGTGGGCATGCTAGAAGAGGGACAGGCTACAACTAGATCTGGACAAGTTACAGGGGTGGGCAGATGAGAATAGGATGGGTTTCAAAACTGACAAGTGCAAGGTACTGCACCTAGGGAGGAAGAACCAGCAGCATATCTACAGGCTGGGGAACTCCCTTCTCGTCAGCATAGAGGCAGAAAAGGATCTTGGAGTCGCTGTTGATTCCAAGATGAACATGGGCCTCCAGTGTGAGGACGCGGTCAGGAAGGCTAACCTTGTCATGCATCCAGAGATGCATCTCAAGCAGGTCCAAGGAGGTGATCCTCCCCCTCTATGCGACATTGGTCAGACTGCAGCTGGAGTACTGCATCCAGTTCTGGGTGCCACACTTCAGGAGGGATGTGGACAGCATTGAGAGGGTCCAAAGGAGGGCCACTCACATGATCAGGGGGCAGCAGGGCAGGCCCTACGAGGAGAGGCTATGGGACCTGAATTTGTTCAGCCTCCACAAGAGAAGGCTGAGAGGGGACCTGGTGGCCGTCTATAAACTTGCCAAGGGGGACCAGCAGGCTATGGGAGAGTCCCTGTTCCCCGGAGCACTACCAGGAGTAACAAGGAATAATGGCCGTAAGTTGACTGAGAGTAGATTCAAGCTAGGCATCAGGAGGCACTACTTCACTGTCACGGAGGCTAGGGTCTGGAACCAACTTCCAAGAGAAGTGGTGCTTGCTTCTACCCTGGAGGTCTTCAAAAGGAGGCTAGATAAGCACCTAGCCTGGGTCGTTTGACCCCAGCATTCTTTCCTGCCCATGGCAGGGGGTTGGACTTGATGATCTGTTCAGGTCCCTTTTGACCCTACCAACTATGAAACTATGACAAGCAGATTATTTATTTTGGGCTACTTCATTATCTAACCTGAAAGCCCCTAACTTCAGGTTAATGAAAAAAATGTTTTTCAGAATAATCTTGAGACTGTGATAACAATTAACTACCTGAATAGGCTTTATTGGATACTTGGTAAATTGAATATGTATTTAAGGGTTAGACAGACTTGATAAAGTATATTGTGCCACTACTCTCATAGACTCTGATTCAGCAACCTACTTAAGCATGTGCCTAACTTTAAGCATGTGAGGGGTCTCAGTGCAGTCATTGAGACGAGTTGCATGCTTGAAGTTAGGTACGTGCTTAAGTATGCTGTTAAATAAAGACCCTATTATATTACAGTGTAAATGTAAGGCTTTTGATTTTGCAGTCCTAACTTTCTTCATGTAATTTTCAGTTCTCTTTTGAGTGCTTACGCATATGCATGCTCCCGCTGTGGGTGTGCATGTACCTCAAGCACTTGAGCTTGGACACTGCATGCCCTAGCAGGATGTGTACAATGGACAGGCATGCTTCCTGTTTCTCAGTTCATCTAAACCACCTGGGCTCAAGTTGCAGTGTATGTGGTCTATTCCAACTGTATTTGCCTTTTGAAAAACCTTCTGCCTTCACCCTAGTTTTAACTTGCCCTTTTGAGTACCCTTGAACAACGGTTGTCAACCCAGCTCCAATCCAGTACGGGCCAGGTGATGTCAGTAGTACAGCAGTGGCGGGGGACTTTCCCTGCACCTGGGCCAGACAGCTGGGAGCTGCTTCACTTGGCTTCCCCACTCCCCATCTGGGATTTGGGCACAGCTTCCAGCCAGTCAGAAGCTGCATCTGCATTACTGCTGGCTCCTTTTCCCTGCCTTTCAACTGCGGCACAGTTTCCCACTGGATAGAAACTGCACCTGTGCAACATCCAGGGAGCGGGGAACTGGGGGAAGCAGCAGTATGGGTGCAGCTCCTTGCTGCCTGGCCTTGGCAGAGGCACAGGCAAAGCCCACCACTCTGTGGGCTGTATGTTGCTGACCCCTGCTCTTGAAAGTTAGCTTCTCACTTCTTCTCTGCTTTCTCTCTGAGGCCTTTCTCATCTCTTGGTCAGGGAGACTCTTACATACCTTTCTTTCTATTCCTTTGATTCTTTGTGTGCTGGGCTGCAAGAGAAGGTAGAACTCTGCATGGCTGGTTTTGCTGGCTCCCAGTCTTGCTATAGGATTCTCCTTTGGCTCTTGGACCTGCTTACCAAAATGGAGGGAGAATGTTCCACTTGGACATAAACATCCTTTGCCTCACAGCATGGATTCTAGATAACTCGGGGTAGAGCAGGCCTTCTTTACCTGAGACCTTCTCCTCTATATCATAAAAGAGTAGATTAGAATGGTAAAGCTCAGTCTTTTAGAACGGTGGGCTCGGTGCTTGTGGTCTGGCTGCACTGTGGGCCACCCCTCCCCTCCAGTAAGAGATAGAGGGAGGTAGGTGGCTGCCAATGTCAGAAGGAGGGGAAGAAAAGAAGGGGAGAGAGGAATAGCCCAGATGGCTTCCCTGGTGCTCCTAGGAATGGTTCCATACCTGATATTTGCAAAGAGACCACCTGGGGCTCCATATATATCTTTTTATGTGCTGTGCCGCTGTGGAAGCTCTGGAGTTGATGCTGTCTGGTAAAACAAAATGCAGTTCTTTTTCAGACAACATGTAATTAACTTGAGGAACTCACAGGATGTTGTGGAGGCTGATAATTTAACCAAGTTCAAAAGGAGATTGGACTAATCTGTGAGTGATAGGTCTATCAAAATGTATTAGGCATAGGGTTAGGGATGCAGCCTAAAGATTAGGACTTCAAAAGCCTCTGAATGCTGGAAGCTATAATGGAAGAGGGCAGGAGATGCATCAGTTTGGATAAGCCCTGTGCAAATACCCTTCCCTTTAGCTTCCAGTCTGATTAATAGATTCATAGATTGTAAGGGGCTGGAAAGGACCTTGCAAGATCCTTGGGTCCAGCTTTCCATGATGCCATTGTGAGATATAGGATACTGGCCTAGATGGATCTGTGGTCTGACCCAGCATGGCATTTTGTATCTTCTTATAAAACAGTCCTTTGCCTAGGACTTTGAGTCCTACCCCAAGTGGTCTGGGCACTGGAGTTACCCACAGTGGGAATGTGCACGGGAACAATAACTCAAAAAAGAAAGAAAAAATACTTACTAGGATCTGGAGCTCTTTGAAACATGTTATCCGTGTATGTGTTCCATACCCTGCCCTCAGTCCCCTCTTCTTGGGATTGTGTGGTTAAGAGGAAACTGAGGAGCAGGAGCATATATTGCTGTTTATGCCTTCAGCAGGGAGCACGTCAGGAGACATGACATATGTGTAGTTTATAGCTACTTCTAGGGCAAAAAACCTCCAAGCTCAAGTGCCTGAGGCATGTATACACTTATAGCGAGAATAGAGATGTATTATTCATGTTCACAAACTCCAGTTACTGGTAATTGAATTAATTTAAAGCTAATTAACACATAACATAGATAATGGCATATTTATTCAGTGTTTGTGTCGTGCTTATGCAATTTGCTGTGAATTTAAATAATTTTTTTCTCCACATAAATTTTAACAATTATTATAATAATTAAAAGAGGATATGTCTTTAATTTCTTCATAGGCAACTAAAGTGGATGTGGAGGCAGAGCTTCAAACGTACAAACATTCCAGGCAAGGGCTGGATGAAATGTACAATGAAGCACGCAGACAACTTCGAGAAGAATCTCAACTACGACAAGTGAGTACAATGTGAAAGTGTAAAGTAAGTCTTGAAAAGACCTATACTTACTGTCACTAATGAATTTTGATTATTTCTAGCTTTACATTTTTTTCTCCCAGTGGGTATGTGATGCCACTGATCCACTGCTGTTTCCTTTAACATCATCTAACCCTTATTTCATGTTTTATAATACTTGGAGCCATGTTGTTAATGTATCTTTAAAAGTGGTGTCACTAAATTATATTTGGGGAAAATATAGATTTTATGTAAATATTGTATTGGTTTATTGTAGCTATGATTATTTCAAGCGGTTAGCTATCAGCATGGTAAGTCATTTTTCTCTGTGTATGTGCATTCAACATTTTTGGCAAACATGGAAATACTTTTTAATAGTATTTAATATCAATATTGAAAATGTGACTATGTATAAGAAAACAGGAAAATAGGTTAATAGTACTGCTTAACATAGTGTTTTTAGGTGAAAATGAGCACAAGTTGCCAAATGCATGACCGAGTTTAAAGTTGACATAATGAATATTAATGAAGATTTATTTTCCAAGTTTACAGAGAAGGTTAGCGATATGTGATGGTAAAATATCCAGCACTTCAACAGTTATATTGTTCACTCTTATTGTTGCAGAATTGTTTCCCAGTTCTTTGTTGACAGCATATGTTATGTGTGTTTGTGCAATTTTGTAGGATATAGAGAATGAGCTAATGGTTCAAGTTAGTATGAAGCATGAGATAGAACTTGCAATGAAGTTGCTGGAGAAAGACATTCATGAGAAACAAGATACCCTGATAGGCCTCCGACAACAGCTAGATGAAGTTAAAGCAATTAACATGGAAATGTACCAAAAATTGCAGGTAAAGGCACATTCTTAAATTAATTAAATTATTTGAAGTGGAATTGGAAGGCTTATACGGATTTTGGGATAGCGCATACTACTTTTCTTCCTATAACATTTGAAATATAAAAAATACATTATTTTAATTGTAACCTTTTTAGTTATTTAAGCTCTGTTGTTGTCTTTGCTTCACTCCTCACTGCTTTTCAGCTTGGCTTCCTGCTTCAGAAAATATTTCTGCTGCCTAAAGTTCACTGCATTCATATAAAATAAGTTTTATGGCAAACACTTAAAAATACTATGGTGATGGAGAACTAGAGCACAAGTGATCAACATGAAATTGTATGAAGGGAGAATGAGATCATATCTGGAGTTCTGCACACTCTTGTGCATGTTCTTACAGAAAACAATGAAGAAATTGTAAAAGGTAGCTTGGGGTAGTACAGATGTAAAGTATAGGAGCAGGTCTGAGGGTTATATTAAGCAGAGCAGTTTGGATAATTAGGGTTGATCAGAGTTGAAGATGCCATTTAGCCCTTTCCAGGATTGAGCCAATAAAGAACTGAGTGGACTAAAGCTAGTTTATGTAGATGTTGCTATCAGATCTGAATTTCAGTAACCCGGCAAAAAGAAAACAGTATTTAAAAGAGAAAAGCCATACCGAACAATATACATTATTTAATAATGTACACACCTGTAAAACCCAGTAGAAGACAAATACATTTAATAAAATTCTGTTATCTATAACTTTTTCTTGAATATTGCTTTGTTGTTTGGATGGAAATATTTAAAAAATAGATTATCAAGCCAACCCCAAAGTCATCTTTATATATTTTTCTTAAGAGATTACACAGTATTACTGTGAAATGGTAGTTTCATATAAAACCTATATATTATTAATCTCACTTTAAAACAGGTTTCTGAAGATGCCATGAAAGAAAAGAATGAAATAATTGGTCGATTAGAGGATAAGACCAATCAAATTACTGCAACTATGAAACAGCTTGAACAAAGGTACAGCGTTCATCTCTTTTTTTTATTCAATTCTCCTCATTCATTTCTCCTTCCCTTTTCCTTATCATTCCAACACAGCTGCCTTTCAGTAGACATTTTTAATGGAGCATTTCTGAAATTTCACCCAGTGATTTGCCATTGATTTTCAGACGAGTAGAATTACTATTAAATACAACCACAAACCCATTCTCTTTTTCCATCTCCGGGTCCTGGAATTCAGCAGTTACACCCAAAGTTGTTCTGTTCAGCACCAGATTCAATGATGTTCACTCCAAAATTCTGTCTTAATGTTTACGTCTGTTTTGTATTTGAATGCTATTCCAAGTTTCTGACTTAATAAAGCTTTTAAACATGCAATTAACTTCAAGCAAGCTTACTTGCATGTTTCAAGTTAAATGCATGTGTTAAGTACCGTCATGAACTGTAGGACCTAGTTGGCTAAGATTCTGAAACTTTCTTTAATTGCTCTGGAAACTCCCTTAAAATAACACACGCGTGTGCGCGCACACACACACACACACACACACACATACTTTATCATAAGAGTTTGAAAAATGATATAATGTTCCAGTGCATAAATTTACATCATGGCATAAATTTACATGATATATTTATTACATAATACAAAATGCGACTTGTGTGCATAGGTTATTTAAATGGCAGTCTACAGTATATACAAGCTAATATTTTTAATTGTCAAATGTAACATATCCATAGCCCTGTCATGTTGATGTTGACATGTCTTATCATTTTCTTTTAAAACTACTTACAAAAAACATAACTATGTATTAAAAATTAGTGACATGAATATTCTTTTATTGACATCCTTTTTTCCCTTCTTTTCTTTTTCTTTTTATCCTTTATCCCAATTTTTACATCTTGAATATTTTATTACTTGCATCTGTCTTTGATTTTGCCCATTACATCCATGAAGTGATAAAGATCTGTTAACTCAAACTAGGACTATTGCAATGTCATTTGTGAAATGTGCTGGCAGTGAAGCACAGCACCAGTACAAACTTGTCAAGGATATATCATTCTGAATGCTGTCACACCTATTATGTTTAAATAGTAATTATAGAGTATAATTTATATGAGTTGGATTAAAACATATAACATTCTGATATTTAACATTATAAAATAGTATTAGGAAATCCTGCGTTACTTGGTCACAGCTTAAATTTACTTTGGTTTCTGAAAGAACATTATCTTCCACCCAGCCCCCTAAAAATCATCCTATGATTACTGACCAATAAGAAACTAGAATTTTCTAATACTTTTTAATCATTTTTAGTACTGTATGATGCCAAATACAAATTTTCTTTTAAAACATTAGCTATGTTTATGTTTTTATTTCACAGTCTTGAAATTTATTTTCTAATTCTACGGATTTTTCTTTAGTCCTTGTAATAAAAACAAATAAGAAACGCACCTTCAATTATTAAAAAACACAAACAACAACAAAACCTATTTTTTGTTACATGTTTAGAATTTGTTTATACCAGAAGCCCTACTATCTATTGTTTTTTAAGTAGTAGTTGCTGCTCTTTTTTCTTGACCCATGTGGACAGGGATATTTTTTCTGAACACTATTAAGATGTGGTATAAAAATGTGCCATGCACTCTGTACTATGAAGAGGAGTATGTCTACACTGAAGCCCTAGCCTGTGCTTGCTCACATGTGTTTGCATATGCTTATTTGTAGTTTAAACTTGTACCTTTTTGAACTGCTGAGGGAATGTGTTCAAGTCACAACTTTGCATTAATTTTGACTAGAACCTGCCCACTCTGCAGTGAAGGTGCAGGCAGAATCATTCAAGTGCTGAGTGTCCTCCACTGCCCTTCTCACAATTTCTATACAAGAGATCATAGAAGTAGGGTTGGAAGGGACCTCGTAGATCTTCAAGTCCGACCCCCTGCCTGGGCAGGAAGAAAACTGGGCTCAAATGACCCCAGCCAGGTAGGCATCAAGCCGCTTCTTAAAGCCCCCCGGGGTAGGAGCCAGCACCACTTCCTTTGGAAGTTGGTTCCAGATCCTAGCCGCCCTAACTGTGAAGTAGTTCTTACAGATGTCTAATCTAAACCTACTCTCCAACAACTTGTGGCCGTTATTCCTTGTTATCCCGGGGGGGGTGCTAGGGGAAACAACATCTCCCCCAAACCCTTCTGGTCCCCCCTAGTGAGTTTATAGACAGTCACCAGGTCCCCCCTCAGCCTTCTCTTGTGAAGGCTGAACAGGTTCAGGTCCCGTAGCCTCTCATTGTAGGGTCTGCCCTGCTGTCCCCGGATCATGTGGGTGGCCCTCCTCTGGACCCTCTCAATGTTGTCCACATCCCTCTTGAAGTGGAGTGCCCAGAACTGGACACAGTACTCCAGCTGCAGCCTGACCAGTGTCGCGTAGAGGGGGAGGATCACCTCCTTGGCCCTACTTGAGATGCACCTGTGGATGCACGATAAGGTTCGGTTAGCCCTGCTGACCGTGACCTCGCATTGTCGGCCCATGTTCATCTTGGAGTCAGTGATGACTCCAAGATCCCTTTCTGCCTCCGTGCTCTCAAGAAGGGAGTTTCCCATCTTATAAGTGTGCTGCTGGTAACTAGTGCCCAAGTGCACCCTGCACTTGTCAGTATTGAAACGCATCCTGTTTTTGTTAGCCCACCCCTGCAACCTATCCAGGTCTTTCTGCAGTCTTTCCCTCCCTGCTAACGTGCCCACCTCACCCCAAATTTTGGTATTATCAGCAAATTTGAACAGGTTGCTTTTCACCCCGTCGTCCAAACCGCTGATAAAGAAATTGAACAGTGCGGGCTCAAGGACCGAGCCCTGGGGGACTCCGCTGCCCACTTCCCCCCAGGTCGAATATGACCCGTCCACCACCACCCTCTGAGTACGACCCTTCAGCCAATTTGTAATCCATCTGACTGTGTAGGCATCGATGCCACAGTCGCCTAGTTTTTTAATGAGGATGGGGTGGTTGACAGTGTCAAAGGCCTTGCTGAAGTCCAGAAAGATTACATCCACGGTGACGCCTGCATCCAATGCTTTTGTGACCTGATCGTAAAAGGCAATCAGGTTGGTCTGACATGACTGGCCCCTAATGAAACCGATGGACTGCCACATTTGACTGGGAAAGAATCATAAGTTTTTCAACATGGAGTTATGGGTAGGGACCTACGAAAATCGCAATTTTGTGAATTTCACGGATTTCAGAAAAGGGGCAATGCCTGTGAAATCTGCAAAATGTGCGAAATCCATGGCAGGGGGGAAAAAAAGAAGAAAGCTTACTGAAAATAAAATGCTGGCTCCCCAGAGGGAGCCAGCAGTCCTCACTGTGCTGCTGCACAGCCTGCGGGGGGAGGGAGGCTGGTCCCATGACGGGCAGCCCAAGATAGCTGCCACCCCTGCCTCTTGTCGCTGATTGGCTGTGAGGGCTGTCTGTTTTATGGCCCCACCCCATTCCAGTTGACAGCCCTTGCAGCCAAGACCCTCTCCAGTTCACAGCCCTTGCAGCCGGTCAGTGGTGAGGGGCCAGGCCATAAGAACCCCTTGGCCGACCAGAGATGTGGGGGGCCTACCATATTCTGCCCATGAAAATGGCTATTGGGCCTGTGTTTTTCCCACAAAATTGGCTAGCAGCCACCTTGAGTTTGGTAGGTGGGATATGCCTCCAGACATACTTAGGCAAATACTGAAACAAAACACGACACAGGTAGGGCTTTGCTGTGAAGCTGTGTGCAACTACATTCCTCAGCTTGGGATTTCACTAATGATGCTCGTGATCTCCATTCCCTGTAAACAAATATGTATCTAAGCACCCTGAGAGAGTGAATCCTGCTGTTAACTCAGTCCAGCACAGCCCAAGCATCACCCTGAAAACAGTAGATACTAATACTTGGGCTAGGGCAGTGATATTCAGACCATGAGTCTTGAGCCACAGGTGTCTCCTCAACTTAAGACCCATGGCTTTTCACAGAAAATGTTACCATTTTTTTCCAATTGCTTGTATTGCATTGTGTAAAGTACATCCCTAAAGCTATATACCAGTGCCACTATATCTGCTAGATATTCATGCATTCTTTTGAACTGGGTTGTGTTTCCCACAATTCATATAGTGGTGCATTATAGTGTTATGACTCTTCTGTTAACCCAGCTCCTCAGGGGGCTCCTGAGCCAGTGAGGACTCAATGTCACTGAGCTAGACTAATCAGAATGCTCAGACCTGAGTGCTGACAGCTGGCTAAGTGTCCAGCAGTGAGTGCATCTACACATGCGATTAGCATGGCTGAATAAACTCTGGCACAGTTTGTGCTGAAGTTTATTGCTCCCGGGCACAGCTTTTACACGTTCGCCTGGGACCACAGTATGTTGAGCCGGGACAGCGCAGCTCCAACTGGCAGGGGGCCCAGGGAGTCAGCCTGCCAGCCCAGAGCTGCTCCGCCCTGGCTCAGTGTGCTGCTGAGGGGCTGGCTGGGGCAACAGGGTGCTAATTCCACCATAGGATAGTACTGGTGTCAGGCAGTACTATCCTACGGCGGAGTTAATTAGTTGACTCTGTCCTAATAGTGTCACACTTGTATACTGCAGAGCTAATTAATCAACTCTGTAGTACAGTAAAGTGCATGTGTCGATGCCCCCAGTGACTTATTCTGAGTTAATATTCCTGGTGGAACTACAGTTGCTATGCGTTGTAGCTCTGAAGCTTGCTAGGCATTAGTGAAGATTCAGAATATGTAGTCTCTAACATGGTTTGGTTAGCATGAGTTTAAAAAAGAAACCCTGTCCACATTGGGTCTGGAAATTATGCAGATGAATTTTCAAGTTTAGTTTAGAGAGGGTCTTAATTTATGTAGCTTTCCTATTTCATGTAGTCTCTGTCCTATGGAACAGCAGAAAACTGCTGTATCCCAGTATTTTTTCTTCCTTCATTCATCTGCTTTGGCCCTTTTGCCATTACAGGTACAGATTTGACAAGAAACGTTGTTGCAGCAGTCTGTAATAAAGGGTGGACTTGAACAGTTTTTCATACCTAGGCTAAAGCTAAATGCTTCAAAAAAGTTAGGTTAATGTCCAATCATTCAATTGTCATTGCTGCACTAGCATGTAATTCCAATGGTGCAGTTTCACTACTAGTAGCACAAACGTACACAGGGCACTGGAATTCTTAGAAGCATGTCATTCAGCTCTTCTCAGATGACTAGTGAAAATGCTGTAGCACTCTGATTTGTTGTCTGGTAACAGTGTAATGGTAGACAGTTTCCTTGAAACTGGCGGCATAGATCTTGTGGTTTAAAGTGGAAGTATGTTGGTAGCCAGGCTTCCTGATGTGGTTGTGATTGTAGTGTAGAATAGACCAGTTTTGGGTTATTTTAACACTGACTAATTGGCAGTAGTATATTACTCTGTCTTCTGCTGACTTGCTGGGAACTGAAGAGTCAAGCCCTTAAACAAGAGTCTCTCTCAGTCTTCTGCAAGCTTCACTCTGAGAATGGACAAAAAAAAATGCATTTTTAAAATGATGTGCTGCGATGAGGCTTTGAGATGATTTCTTAACTGCTGTACTCAAGTCTTCCTTATATATCCCAACAGGAGAGATGTCTCTATGGTAACAGAAAATTTGATTTAATGTCTTTACATACATTTCAGTTAAAATTAATCCCGTTTTTCAAGCTGAAAAGGTTGCCAAGCAGAGAGGAGCCTTGGTGCATTGGTGGCATTTTAGGAAGCGGAAAGAGCTAAATGAAACAGGAAAGATCTCCCTTTAGAATTAGAGAGAGATTAAATGAAAGCTGCAATCCTCTTGTTTATTCTATTTATTTAGTCATATCATATGGAGCTATTTTAACCAGTGTAAGAATACATTATTTTTAATACAGATTGGTAATTCTCTAAATGTAATAAGACACTCCAGAGTGTGTTTTGCTGTCTTCCTACAGCTGTGTTTTTGCTGTCTTATTGTAGTGCTCTGTAGCTGGCTTCGTATTTGAATTGTGTTGAGCATTTCCAGCACAAAACACGTTCTGTTATGTCTTACTGATTGATTAGTATGGACAAATAATTATTGTACTCTTACAATTTTTGTAAAAAAAAAAAAAGTGTCCCATAATAACACATGTACATGTATTCAAGTTTCAAGCATTAAGCTATATGCATCAGTTATAAAATCTGTATTGCTTTGCTTTTACGCGTTAATCACAGACTTAATAAAAACAAATTAGAATACTTAACATGGTGATTTACTAACTATCAAAGAAAAACAAAGGCTAGAGTTCTAGGCATTGTATGGCTCTCTTGTTTGAGTTTGTGAGTTTCCCCCAAATTTTGTTTTTATTTAGAAATGTTTCTATTTCCCCATTTTTCTTTTATTTGTCTTCTTCACCCTTTACACCCTAGTTCTAGCCTCAGTTTTACCCAAAGTTGATTTGAATTACACCAGATTGCAGCAAGCAGAGAAGGCTCAAATGGAAGCTGAGAATGAGGATGAGAAATTTAAACAAGAATGTAAGAATAAATCTGAAAGCCTTCAGAAAGAAATCTCTCAAAAGGAAAAGCAACTGTAAGTATGACTTCCCTCTGGAAAAAGTACAAGTCAATTTTTTTCTTTTACATTCAGTTTAAAACATTCTGTTAATTTAAAATTTGTGATATATCTCATAATACAGGCTGCACATTATGGAAGGATAATTTTAATTGGGTATAGATACTGTAAAGAAACAGGAGATGCTAGACAGGGGCAGAGTGGAAAAAAATCTCTTATTCTAAGAAAGCCTACAGATAAAGTTTTTTAAGTAGTTGTCTGGCCAGAAAATGGGAAACAACAATATTGTCTTTTGGGTGAGGATGCCATGTTAGTTTGCTGGGGAAATGGTTGTTAAAAGCAGAATTCTCAATCATATACAGGTCATAACAACATATACTGAAACAGAGAATACTTAGAACAGTTAACCATTAAAGCTTATAAATGAGGCCAAAATCTTTCATGACTAATAGTTAAACAGCTATCCATGAAATTTGTGAGTCTGCTACAAACAAAAGTGTTAAAACTTTAAATGAATGCGATTCTGGTCTCCTACACCAAACAATCTCTGACAGGATTTAGCTGAGAGTCAGTACAGTTATCACTATTTGCAAAGCAGTCAGAAGAAACAGCAGTTATTACTGATACAATGTTTAAGGTGCAACTTTTAAATACACCTGCACCTATTGATCAGCGGAATATCAAGGATTGAAATTCAGGAGTTGAAACTACAGAGCAGGTGTATTACTGGATGTCCTAAACCAACTGATGTTAATAATCTTCACTTACTTGCTGGAATCACTTCATCAGACATCGAGAGAGCAGTAGCAAGCTAAATAGAATGCACTCAGCAGATTGAAGTTAAGAGGCCCGCTACTGCATGGCCATATTGTGACTCCCAGTAGACTAAAATCACAGAAAGGTTTCTTCTCTACAATACAGCCCCTGGGTGAAACAATGACAACCACATGAAAAAAAATGTGGCAGTCACAACTAGAGATGACCCAGGAGGAAGTTAGGATGAATATCAAAACTTCTGAACATATTCCTGCAGGCACAGAGCTTGATTGGCCAACATGGAGAAGCTTGAACTGCCTCCAAACAGGGCATGGTAAGACAAAAGTTAATATGCAACTGTGCGGATACTCTGATTCAAACACCACATATAAATGTTGGGTAAACACTTAGACCATAGAAGACCTACCAGCCTGCCAATGTATGGGAGAACCATGCACCAATGGGGACCTTGCTAAGGCTACAGATTGAGCAATAGTATGTGACCATTTCTGACTACATTTAAACATGGTGACAGGACGTGAGAAGGAGACGATGACCACAGAACTCTTCCATGAATCTGAATATTAATACTAGTTCAGCCATCATGTTCACTTTACTAGCATAGTTGGCATAACAGTTTTTTAAAAAAAGAGTAATTCAGGCCTCAGGGTCACAGATCTGCAATTCAGAATCCAAAAGGATAGGTTCATTTCTGATCTTTTCTAGTAAACAAGATGCTGCGGTTAATGGGCTAAAATGTCTTTCCTTTAAAAATGGTTGTTGGCTCTTCTGTGACAAAATCAATATAGATGCATGTCAGATTGCAAATATTTACAAAATTAGTTGGAATCTTTCTTCCTTTATTGTATGTATGATGGGATTTAGACCCAGAAGAATCAGAAATTTGTTCTTATCTTCAGTTGGCATTTTATGTGCTTTTTAAGTATTGATTCTTTGTACTGTATAGATGATGGCAGAATTATAGCAACATTGTATGCATTAGATTGTCTCTTATTTCCTTTAAATGGAATCCAGAAGCTGTGATTAGTATAAACCAGATCCGACTTTGTATCTCGCATCAGTTTTGTTGGAATTTCAGTAAAATCAGATAATTTGGAATCTTTTGAAAACTTGATATAAACTTACTTACTGTAAACTTAATATACTCAAGAGTGGTGTCTTCTATCATGCTGCGCTATTCCAGGTGGTCTGCTTCCTAAATTGAAAACACTTATAGCCATGTCCAGAAGGGGTTTCAGGCTGGGTAAGTGTCACTACTGAGTGACAGTGCCTGCATGCCATTAGCCTGCCAACTATACTGCTTCTCATTTAGTAATTAATCTACCTGAAAAATCATGCTGGAATAGAGCTGACTGTCTAGACGTAGCCTATATCGTATTCAAAATACTCTAGAACTTGGGTCAGCAACCTAAGGCCTACCAGCTGAACCTGGCCTGCAAAAGAGATTGGATGTGGCCTTTGGTAGCATGTGGCATAGGGGGATCAGTGACACATGGTGACGGGCATTACTGCAGTTGCTGCTTACCCTCGCTGAAAAATTCAATGCTCCCCATCACTTTTGGTGACAGAAATTGGTGGCACTTGGTGGTGAGGGTAAGAAGAGTCTACATCAGGGGGACATGAGAGACATCCCTCAGCCCAAAGCAGAGAGGCAGTTCTGGAGTGCTGTGGAGGGGATTGGTAGCCTGTGGCAGCAGCTGGGTTTTGAGCAGCAGCTTGCCATTCTTACAGGTTGTCAACCTGTGTGCTAGAAGTATACAGGCAGTCCTTGGACTTAAGATACAATTGGTTCCTGAAAACTGCATCCTGAAAACATTGCAACTCGGAACTGATTTTCCCATAGGAAACAATGTTATAAATGGGGGATTGGTTCCTGAACCAAGACTCGATACCCTATTTTCAGCAAAAAAATAACCCAGAATTTTGTATTCAATCAATTATAGATGAGTAACATAGCAACATTAATGTATTTATATTGTAAATAGCAATCATATTGATTTGGAAGGACTTCTCTGAGGTGACTGCTGGACTTTTTGAAGGGCTCTTAGTTAGACTTTTCTAAGGGTTCTTGGCCGGAGTCTTCTTAGGATTCCTGGCCGCAGGTTTTTCTGGAGTCTTGTCTGCTTTCTTAAATAAAGTGTCCAAGGAAGTTTGGACAGATGTTCTCCAGGAAGATGGGCGATGCAGCGAACTTGTTCCCTAGTACGGTGTTGTGTTGTAAAGTTGAAACTGACATTAGAAATTTGAAACAGGGTGTCAACTTATAAATGTTACAACGTTTCACACTTACAACTCAAAATGTTGCAAATCAATGACTGCCTGTACGTTCTTAGTACTGCCCCACTTTCCTATAATATTCAGTCTTTGTTGCCATATATTTTTTTAATAATAAAAATAATATGAAGAGCAGTACAGATTCATTTCATCCCTCATATTCTGTTGCATAAAGGATATGTTATTAAAAAAACCCAAAAAAAATGTGATAAGTTAAATGGGAAGTTTATTTGTGTGTGTTTCTTAATAAGAAGGACAATATATTAATTGGAAAAGATAGTTCTTCCAAATTATATTAAATTCTACAAATCTTAATACAGACTTCTTATTTTCCTATACTTTTATTACATTTGTATATGATTTTTTTAAGTATTATTCCCAAATATCACATCAGAAAAACCTACAAATAATGAACTTGTAAACAAGTGAAAATAGCAAATTGCTATTGTCTGTGCTGGACTGATAGTGAAACATAAAATAGAAAACAAATTATTTTGTTAAAAAAATATGCTGCAGTGCACAAATGATTGGCTTTTGTTTGCAATTCTAGGATTCAACTGGAAACAGATTTGAAGATAGAAAAGGAATGGAGACAAGCATTGGAAGATGATTTTCAAAAGGAAAAAAAAAGAGTCTCTCATCTTAGAATAGAGACACAGCAAATAACTAGCCTTAAAAAAGTAAGTTCAGTAAAAGTTTTTATCAATTCACATTTAAAAAATGAACTTGTTGATCTTTGAATATACTCACTGATTTTAAATGAAAATATTTTAAATTTCATTCTTCCTTGTTCTAATGTGTCATGAGTTCAGGATTCTGTGTTTTTTCATAATGAGTACTGAGTGATACCCACATTTTTCTTTCTGAATGGTATTGAATGCTGTATTTCTATAATCCAGATATGGACCAGTGAGTGTTATTTTGTAATTGCTCTAATTTTGTATAACTGCCTGCTTAAAAAATCTCTTATTAGCAATTTGTATAGTTATTTCCTGGAAATTTAATTAAAAGAGGAAGAGGCGTGGAGGTAGAATCATCTATATTTTTATGTTAAAAATAGACTCCAAATATTCACATTCAGGTAGTGGAAAGACTGCTGTTAAAAGGTTCATGAGGAAATTCTCCAACATGTTCAATACCTGGACTTCTATTTTCAGAGAATTAATTAGACACAAATGAAACAAGCACATTTGGACCAACTGTCCATATATTGGTTGAATTGTTATTACTACTGTAGCATGTGAGAGTGGTAACCGTGGACCCAGGTCATCTAGTGTGCTAGGCGAGAGCAGAGGCAGTCTTTGGTAAAGGGATGTTAAAATCTAGGTAAAAGGCAGGAAGTGACATAAGAATATAGCAGGGTCAGTTTAGACTAGTGTCTGCATGTCATTGATTGTTTACAGCATAAAATGTCAAAAAAATAGTGGTGGGATTCAAATAGAGAGAATACCTTTGAGAAGCATTTAGGATTATGTTGCTTGGGCCAGGAAAGCTAAAATGTACTTTCTGATATAAACTATAGTTTTAAATTGCGTGATTCTTAGTTTGTCAAGAGGGTATAGGTGTAAGGAACACTTTTGACATAGAGAAAATAACTTGATTAGTAAATACCCCCATATAATAAATTTAAAACAAGGTCTCAATGAGGATAGTTTGTAAACGTATATAGGGGTAAGGCTCCATTTTGTTTATCTGGCATTCTCAGGTAGCATTTCATAGCCTGGGATTTAAGGTAGGAGGTAAAATACCTTTCCTTGGACAACCATTTAGATTGACTGTTGTCTTCTGTTTGACAACAAGATAGCAGCTTGTTGGTAGATATTTTCATGTAGCAATAGTCATTGAGCTTTTAAGCTAAATTTTTCAGTGTTTGGGCTCTTCACAGAAATACAATATTTTAAAGTAAGTTTAGCAAATTATATTTTAAAATATTTTTTGTGAAAAACCTAAATACTAAATTGAATATGTTTTAAAAGTTTTTAAAGTCTTTAATAAAGAGGCCATCCTTAATGGACTGGCTGATGCCAACATCCTGGGGGATAGCCAGCACAGGTTTGTTGCGGGTAGGTCTTGCTTGAACAATTCCATTTCCTTCTACGACCAGGTGACCTATTACCTGGACAAGGGAGAAGAGATTGATGTCATATACCTTGACTTCAGAAAAGCCTTCAATCTGGTATCCCATGATCACCGCTTGGCAAAACTGGCCAATTGTGGCCTTGGGTCCACCACGATCCGCTGACTGGGAAATTGGCTCAGTGTTCGGACCCAGAGGGTAGTAACTGATGGAAGTCAATCATCATGGTGCCCTGTGACCAGTGGTGTCCCCCAAGGCTCTGTCCTTGGACCCATATTGTTCAATATCTTCTTCATTAATGATGTGGACACTGGAGTCAGAAGCACACTGGACAAGTTTGCTGATGACACCAAACTGTGGGGCAAAGCATCCACGCCAGAAGACAAGAGGCCGATCCAGGCTGACCTGGACAGGCTCAGCAAATGGGCGGACGAGAACCTGATGGTGTTTAACACTGAAAAATGCAAGGTTCTCCACCTAGGGAGGAAAAACCCGCAGCATCCTTATAGGCTCAGCAGTGCTACGCTGGCTAGCACTATGGAAGAAAGAGACTTGCGGGTCATCATTGACCACAAGATGAACATGAGCCTGCAATGCGATGCTATGGCTAGTAAAGGGACCAAAACGCAGGCTGGCATCCATAGATGCTTCTCAAGCAAATCCCGGGAC